AGCCCTCGTGTAGCTTTGCGCGAAATTCCAAAAAACAAACAAACAAACTTTATATCACTAGATTACCTTTCCTATTACTATTTATCTTTCATGACCAGTTTGTTAAAACTTATAATAATTCATTTTAACCTTAATTTTCCTGACTAAAATATTTTAACTTGTCAAAGAATTGGAATGTAAAACCTGTATATTTCACAAAAGCGTAGAAAATTACTTCTGTCAAAAGATAAGTAGTCAACGAGCAAACAGAAATGAAAAGGCAACCATTTTTATTATTCCACGATCGTATGATTCGCGCTACTATCTTTCAAATAAATTTGAAACGAAACCCCAAACCTTCTTTTAAAAGTTATGTAATTCTGAGTGATTCACCAGTTGTAAGCAGTCGAGTAATCACATGACATATAATCACGTTTAGTGTCAGTCTACCCTGGTATATATATCTTTTTTACCTTAATATACCGACCGAGCTTTGCAGTAACGTCGAATTTTCTTACACGAACCAAGGCAGCGAAGCTGAATCGGTGCTGCTCTCCTATTGATTTTTTCGTTAATCCTGCTGTCGGCCTATAAAGCCGTACTAAATAACGGGTGCAGCTACGGAGGTTCATGAATTTTCTATCTTCATTATGCCAATCTAGGCTGCGCTCTTATTCGTGATTGCTCATGAAAAATAAGTTTGACATACAAAATTCATTTGTATTTGTTTATGCTTCAATTTGAAGCGCATCTCATTAAAAAATGTGAAGTAATTAACTTGTAAACGCAGCAGTCAAATAACGCTCACCGTATTATGTGAAATAAGTAATCCATAAATGGAAGTGCTTACAGAGACGACAAGCTCCTGCCCTTTTCTGGTGATGTAAATAAGAACAGATAAATATTTGTGTGGAAAAGCTTAGGTTTAATTAACGAATTTCTAGAAGTATCTAAACCTAGACACCATATTGAAAAGTTTCATTCTGTTTAATTGTTTACATGTTTTCTTTATAATGATTATCCAAATTTAAAGAAGTAGTATTTCAATTTCCTTCATTTAGTAGCTAAATGAAATACCAAACATTGCTTTTATACTTCATATTTTTCTATACAAGCTTACTAAAGGTTTGCCTTTTTCAAAGATTCATTGAACAGTTGTTATTACAGTTGTTATTTTTAATTGCGAGAAAGCTGTAGTTTTTGG